CATTTTTCCTTTTCCTTCGTATCTTCCTTTTTTCTTTCTTTCTTTTTTTCCTTCCTTCCTTCCTTTCTTTCCTTCTTTCTCTCTTCCTTCATTCCTTTATTCCATCCTTCCTCATTCCTTTTTTCCTTCCTTTCTCTCTTTTTTCCAGTCTCTCTTTCTCTCTCTCCTTTTCTTCTTCTAAGAAAATTAGGAACAAAATTATGACTCTTGTCCGGTAAATCGTTTTAGTGATTCGTTGTCCAAACAACTGTTTCCATAATGGTAAATGCATTGGAACGACGTGCTTCTGTAATAAGGGTTGGACTGGTTCTGAATGCTCAAAATTCCACTGTAACAATCTGCGTAACTGTTCTGGACATGGTACCTGTGTTGGACCCAACGTCTGTCGCTGTCATCCTGGAATATCCGTAATTATCTTAATATTCCTAATTATTTTAAAGTGATAAATGCTTGATTTGTTTTAGCTCATAATAAACAATAATCTAGTCAAAGTAAAAAACCTTCGTATTTATAAGTAATGCTCAGGAGAAATTGAGGATATCGACAATTATTTCTGTTGTTTGTGTTCATTTTACCTTTTCAGGGCAGGGCTTGTACATATTCGTACTGCACCCAGTTTGAAAACTGCAGATCTTGTATTTCCAGTAAAAACTGTGGTTGGTGTGACAACCTTGGTCAGTGTTTGCCAGGACATGGTGGAAGATCTTACTTTGGAACTTGTCAAGACTGGTTCTTTTATAATTGCTATACAATGGGAAGAATCAGCTTCTGTTCGCGCAGACAAATAACGGTAAATTGAAGCAATAAAGTTTATCATGTGGGAGCTTGATCTGTTTGCTTAGATTTAGAGATTATTTCAGTTCGTAGTGATGAAAGGATGCCTAAATTTCCATTGACACACAACAACTATTTATATTAGGCGTAAGGTCTTTCCCATTTCCGACTAACTTCTTTGTGACTAAAATAACTAAATGGCCAGGGATCGTTTTGTCAACTAATCATTTAGGTTGTAATACAAGCAGTTGCTATAATCATGATGCTGCGCAGGAATATAAAATGCGCGCAAATGTCTATGTACTGTGATATAAACACGCTGGGAGCTGTAGAGCACGAGAAAAGCAAGCTTAGGAACATGAGGTGTGACAAATGACTGATTTTTTTTCTTTCTCGCTTTATGTTGCTTTCATTTTCATGAAGCTGTTAGACTGCAATCGGCAACTTTGCAACCGTTTCTCAGATCTTGCAAGTAAGGAATCGTGTCAAAGGTGCAAAGATCACGAAAATTGCTTCCAGACTAAGGTTAGTTTTTTGATGTTAGAAGACCTTTTATACTTCTGCGACCCAGAAATTAAACTCGAGATACACCACGTTTTTTTCAGCCTTAACAGGACTCTTACTATTACTGAAATATGTCAATACACAGCACCAATAGATAATTATTTCAGTTTTTTCAGTTGTAATTCAATTAGCAAAGAGAGTCAAAATCAAATACAGTCAACTCTCGCCTTGCGGACACCCCGATATTACTGACACCTCGCCATTACGGGCAGAAGAAAAATCCCCAGCAAAAAAATGCCATTAGGTTCGGCTCATCTAAATTTCAACGTTTACCTAAGTTATCATGTATATATAACCTAAGGGAATTAAGAATAATGGCTATTTTTTCCCTTTACAATAGGATGCAGAAGGTTGTAGAACTTGGAATGAGACCCGTTGCCCGAATGGACAGGTGAAAATCGATTACTCTGATCCTACGCGAGTAGATAATACTCAAATGAACGGCAATGCTAGGAGTATAAGTCCTGAAGAAGTAACAATGTACAGATGTGAAGCAAAAGAACCAGATGGCAGAGTCACAACAGTGTTTGCTTTTAACGCTAACTTGACTCTCAATCCTGGTAATGTTATTTCAAGTAATCAAGCAGGAGGAGTGTTCCATAAAGTTTCAAATGTCAAAGATTTTGGTAAGAAGAAACCCCTTGCTTGTGACGTCAAAGGAGCTCAATTTGCGGGGGAAAAAAACAAACAGAATTGAGAATTGGAAACTTATTGTTATGTCCTCCAAATTAAACTGCATTCCGACGTGCTGTTATGGGTCTATAGACCCTAAAATTTTCGAATTCATGCAATTTACTATGTTTCTTGATTACAGCGGACTATCTCATTTACGAAGGATTATCTTCACTTTAGTGTCAGAAAATTTACTAATACTTGAATTTTAAAGCAACTTCAACACTACAAAAACACTTTGAAATGTCACTTACCTTCACTGGTACACATGAATACTCTACACAAAATTGAGGCTAACCCTGATCGACAGAGAACCAAAAGCCGGAGTATTTGCTTTTTGAAGTATTTTTTCTCTCTTTCTCATTTATATTCTAAAATAGATAAAAGAAAATCATTAGCAAATCTTTTTTTTCGATTTCGTTTTACCGACAGAACCATATACATTTGT